AGCGAGGGGCCGGCAGTGGCGGTTCCCCGGCTGCCTCGGGGGCGCTGATAGGTCGTAGCTGGTATGCTATTGTTGTGGGCGCCCCTGGTGGGGGTGACGGGGGAAGAGATCAGGAGTCAGAGGTGTGGGCTGTGGCTACCCCCGTCATCCCCAACTCCCCGGGGGTGCCAGGGTTGGAGTAGGGTGTCTATGCAGGAGGATTGGAAGAGCTCCACATGGTTGCTTCCTCTTCCTCTTTTATGGTCCAAGCTCCTGTCAGATGCTCTCCTCAGACACCTGGGAACTTGGCTCTGGCCTCCCCACCCATCTGTGGCTCCCTGCCACCCCCGCCCCACTTGGCTTTCCCAGGCTGCCAGCCTGTCAGAAGGCTGCCGGGGCACCCTGCTACGGGTAGCACGATCCTGGGGGTGGGGGTTTGGGGAGCAGCTCCAGTAGAGTCTAGTAAACCCCGGGTCTGCATCGGGATATGGCTGCAGGGCCATGGGGAAGTCTGCCCCGGGTGGGACGAAATCACACAAGGCCCCACAGCCCCACCCACCCTGCTGACTGGTTATGATGTGATGGCATCACAGGGAAATTTGCATATTCCTCTATTATTAGTATATGGTTCTGATTTTTACATTATGGATGTGCTTTTTTCTGTTACTAATAAAGTAAGTCAGAACTGACCTCTTTTTGTGCAGGGCTATCATGGCACTCAATATATTCAAAGTTTTATAGCCTAATTTCTTAGCCCAGGTAGAAATAAAACTTCTGAAATACTGAGGGCTACCTATATTTTTCTCTGCTTGAGATATAAAATATTGTGGTCTTTTTAGATATTTAGATTGTGTATTGAAAACCTTCCCCAGTTTTTTTTCTGTGATTCCACTGCTAATGACAGGATTGGCTGTTGATGGTAAGGACAACAGTGTGTTCAGTTTGTGTCCGGAATACAGAAATGAACATACAACCTGGCTTGTGTGGCTCAGTGGTTGAATGTTGACCCATGATCCAAGAGGTCATCAGTTTGATTCCTGGTTAGGCCATGTGCTTAGTTTGTGGGCTCGATTTCCAGTAAGAGGCATGCAGAGGTCATGAAGGAGGCAGCCAATGGATGATGTAGCTCTCTCATTGATGTTTCTATCTCTTTATCCATCTCACTTCGTCTCTCTCTCTAAAAAAAAAAAAAAAAAAGAGAAAAAAAAATCAATAAAAGAAGTGAACTTACAGAGAAGATCCTGCTTTAGAAGGCTTCCAACCACTGCATGATCTAGGCCAGTGGTTGGCAAACTCATTAGTCAACAGAGCCAAATATCAACAGTACAACGATTGAAATTTCTTTTGAGAGCCAAAATTTTTAAACTTAAACTATATAGGTAGGTACATTGTTATTAACTTAATTAGGGTACTCCTAAGGCTTAGGAAGAGCCACACTCAAGGGGCAAAAGAGCCGCATGTGGCTCGGGAGCCGCAGTTTGCCGACCACGGATCTAGGCTTTAACACCAGAGAAATGATATTCAGAACCTTTCACCAGGCATATGTATATATGACATACTAGTATATTGGTCATAAAAATACGTGCATGTATATTTCCATCATAAGTATCCTAATATATAAAAAGCCAGGG